TTGAAATATCATTAGGCAACCAAATAGTAGAAAAAAGCAAAATTGTAAGAGATCTAGGTGTAATCCTAGACTCCAAACGAACTTTTATAGAACATTATAATACTATCATTAGTAAAGCAAACAGAATGCTAGGCTTCATCAAAAGGTTCAGTCATAATTTCGAAGACCCATACACTATTAAGCTGTTATAAACCACATATGTAAGGCCAATTCTGGAATACTGCCACCTAGTATGGAATCCATACATTTCCATACACGAAGAACGCATATAATCTGTCCAAAAACAATTCCTTTTATATGCTTCACGTAAATTGAATTGGACTGCATTTCCATTACCATCTTATGAAGCGCGCTACATGCTCATCAATATACAAACGCTTAAGGAAATGCGTTTCTTCATCAACGACATTATTTCAATGCGCATAGATTCGGCAGAAATTCTCGCACAATTAAACTTTTACACACCTTGTCGATATCTTAGAACACGGAATTTATTTTCAGAAAAATCGTACAGAACAAACTATGCAAAAAATAGCCCAATCAATCGAATGATGCGCCTATATAACTTGCATTTCGGAACTATGGACATCACTATGTCCAAGCAGCAAATAAAAACTAAGCTAAAACAGAATAGAATTAATGCATAGTATGTAAGTAAACATTGTTATAATCATTGTAGTCTACACTGGCTTGACGAAATGGAAATAAATAATAAAAGATCGATTACAGTCACGTAGGGTTCAGTTCATAGATTAATATTGACACGGTGGCCAGTGAATTTTCATTAAAAATTCCCGGTTTTTCCCGGTTCAAATCTTTTTTAAAAAGGCGGCCAACTGTAAATTTTCGGTAGTTATTTGTGAAAAAAAAATAAAAGCAAAATTACAGAAAGTATTTTTCAAGCTGAAAGTAAAAATTGAACTCTATGCGTCACTTAATGTATTCCAAACACACGGACAGAAAATTGTTTACATTGAACAAAAAAAAACTTTATTTGCATTAAACAAACAATTCCGGTTGAAATTATATTGCATTTTATTGTTTCGATAATACTTATTCAAATAAATTCAAAATAAGATTCTTTTTGTTTCAATAAGCCACTTTTCAACTGCAACTATTGTAAAAATAACAATATTCTTTTATTAAGCCAACAATAGTTAATTTTAATTTAGCATTTATTTGTTGTGTCCGTTCCCCGGGCAAAAATAACTACCAACCATTCCCTTGTTCCCGGACAAAAATGTAAACAACAACACAAAACTGTTCTGGTTTGATTCACTTAAATATGTGTGAATTTCGGGAAATAAGTGCAAGATTTCCGAAAATCTTGAGACTTGAGGTAAGTAAGTATGCTGCAGTTGCTAAATATAAACAGTTTTTTTTTCTTGATTTTTTTTTCTTCCGTCGATTTTGTTTTCCGTACTGAGTACCAATGCTCCCGACGCCAGGAAGGCAGCTACCACACCTGGACCCTACCTATCGACCGATCAACTCATGAACCGGAGAGGTTTTATGCCTCAGAAAGGTTTTTTAAACTCAATTGGAATTCTGTTTGTTACAAAAAAGAAAACAAAACATAATAATAATCGCAAATTATTATTTCATTTTCATTTTCATTTTATGATGTACAAGGGGGTCAGGGGCCATGTCACTGATGTGAATATTCACACCATCCATTATACACCAGGGTATAATAATCGCAAATTATTATTGAATCAATAAACATATTTTTATTTCTACTGCGTATATTTTCAGGCTTAATAAAATAAATTTGATTGAATCAACAAGAAATCTCTTTAAAAAACAAACATATTTTTTTGTTGACCCAGTTGCCAAATTTGATAGCTTACGTCAAAACCATGAGTCCTTGTAAATTCGAAAAGATTTTCTTTTTGATTTAACAATCCATTAGTTTTTAGACACAAAGATACTGGATTGTTGAAATAATAATGATTTCTTTTTGCAGCCAAAACAAAATGAAATTCTTATTAATTTTACGTCAAATATTATTACGTTTAAAATATTTTTTTCTGCGTGCAAATCATTGATCTTTCGCGATACTTTGAAAGCTCACACTTTTTTAAGGTTGATACATCTTATGATTTCAAAACCCTAGAATTTATTGAGTAACAGAGATTAAAGCCACTAGGCCAAATGCTATCTGGATGAATAGGTGATAAGACAGAATTGTGGAAAATAAGAGATTTAATTAAAAAATGTTTCAACAAAAATGATCTTGATACAAATGAGAATTAGAAGAAATTGTTAGGGATATCGGAAAAAGAAAATGTGTCTTCACTCCGTTGTCTATACTAACATAAATATTAGCCTTTCAGTACTCGGGCTGATGTACAAGTTTTTTTTCTGTCTTGTCTTTGACTTGTTTTCCGTCGATCTTGTTTTCCGTGCTGAGCACCAATGCTACCGACGCCAGGGAGGCAGCTCCCGCACCTGGACCCTACCTATCGACCCATCAACTCATGAACCGAGGACCAACGGCTTTACTTCCGTTCCGAAGGAAGGTGTGATCGTAGATATTATGCCTCAGAACATCCCGGCGGCGCCGACTGGGATTGAACCCACGCCTGCTGGGATGAGAGTTAATCAGGCTTACCACTACACCACCGGCGCTGCTAATGTACGAAGTTAAATACGAAAAAAATAATATGTAAAACGTACTGACGTTGGAACTCGCTCAACGCGAAACTAAACATGGTTCATGAAATTTAATACCCACATCCAATAGACCAATACTTGAAGAATATTACTGAAAGGATACAAATAGTGATTTACGAAGATTCCCAAGATTCTGGGGCTTTGACATTTGTGTAGAGTCTGAAAATAGAACTTTTCTTCGAAATTTTCGTGATACAATATTTGGAGAAAAAATAATTAACGATTTTGTAAAATTTCCCAAGATCGCAGATTTGAAAAAATAAATCATACTTGAGTCATAATTGTCAAGGCTCTGAGACTAGGAAGCATTTGAAACCTGATAAATTTTTTCAATCCTGTGATCTTGAAATATTTTCAAATTCGTAATTATTTTTCTCCAAATATTGCATCACGAAAATTAACCTATACTAACAAGCTTATAACAAATTAAAGAACAAATTATAGAATCTTGCGGACAAACCCTGAAATTTTTAGTAAAATTTAAAAGTAGTGAAAGTGTTGATTTCACACAAATATTGAGAAGGAATCCCACATAATTTTCGAAGGAGAAGTTCTGAGCAGAATTTCAGAATCATTCTGACTTGAAGTGCTTAGAAATTGTTAGACGAATTTGGAGAGAAGGATGCTCTAAAAAGTTCTAAATTGGATTCTTAGATAATTTTGGAAGATTTCAGGAGTTGTGAAAAGAAAACATTAAGGAAAACTCCTACGTAATTCGGAGATTTTGGGATCGCGAGTGTGAATCGTGAATTTTAAGAAGAATGATTGAAGAATTTCAATTATTGTTATTATTGTTTAAAAAAATTCTTTAAAATACTCCAAGGGGTTTCTAAACAAAATTTCGAAAGATTTCTGCTGTTTTTAATAGAGTTAAAAGAAAATTTTGAAAAGATTTTAATAGCAATCTAAGTCTCCGAATAGGTTCAAGGGAATTCTAAGAAGAATTCCAATCAAATTCTTACAAGAAGTTTCAAGAAAATAAAAAAAACAACGGTAATTATTAAGCGGAGTGTTTTCTTGTTAATATCAGAAAAATTTTATGATAATTTAAAACAGAATTCCAAGTTAATTCTGGAATTCATATCATGAAAATTTTGAATAAAATTGCATGGTTATTTTAATTTAGAATTGAAAACGAAAAATTAAAACCACGGAAAAGAATAGTTCACATTCAGTTTTTACAATTATTGTTTTCAAGGTCGAGCATCTTCAATATTTTCTTTTAATGCCCAAGCACTTTACATCTGAAATTGAATCGACAAAAATTAATTTAAATTTTGCTGAGGGATTAAATTCTAAAAACAATAAGAGGAGAAACTGTAGATAATTATACAGCAAATAGAGCTAGACATTCATTTGGTAAAGAATCACTCTGTTTTAATGGTTTATTCTGAAATTTAGGTTTACAAATTTGTTCCTATGGTATTGTAAATTTATTTTTCCCGGTGCTCTCGTCGAATTCCCGGGTATTTCCCAGTTACCTTTCAAGTTCCTGGATATTTCCCGGTATTCCTGGTTTCCCTGGCCACCCTGTATTGACTGCTGTTTACAAATGAACAAAAAGAAATAAGTTAACTCAAATGCTTTAACCACATATACCAGAGATTTCGCATAATGAGTGAATAATATAGTAATCGAGTACAATAAACTCAGGGGAAAACAATACCTACAAAAAATTAAAAGTTATTAATTGTCAAATACCTCTAATATTACTTATTTCCTAAACAATTCCTCTCCTTGTTAATTTGCTTAATACTATTGGTCTGCTTGCGTTTTCTTATTGAAGTTCAAGACTAAATAGGAAGATTTATTCTACAACTTTAAAGGTTAGTTGCCTCCCTAAGCGGACCCCCGCATCCTAATTATTTTGTTCATCTACCTAATGTTATTAGACTTTTTGAAGTTTCTTATTTAATTTTTTTGATGATTATGATATCTCATTAGTCTAATTTAATAAATTATTGAAATCTCTAATTCAACTAATCAATCAACCCATCAAAACCCATACTTTATTAAGTACTTGCACTTGTGCTTGTAATACTTTTACAACCGGCCCTGATTGAAGGATATGCCAAATTTTTGTGAAGGATCGTATTGATTAACATCGACTTCGCCACCAGAACAGCCTGAAACTTCAGAATCTAATCCGTGGATAATACCGGTTGGAGCTTACCAACATTAGGGTCAAACATTTTTTTTATCTAGATTCCCGGTTTCACAATAATATTTCCTAATTTTATCGATTCACGAATCTTTATTCTCGAATGGGTTGCCACCCAAAGGTTATGATTATGTAATCACTATTATATTATAAGGCAGCTTACCCTTAGTATGGATGTGTTTCAATCCTGTACATTCGCAGGAACATCTGATGTTATGACTCAAAAATTCCTGGGAAAAGGCAGCACGCGTTCCATTGACGTTTTCTGACCGGCACATGTACCAAATATTTCTGGTGAATTCACGTTTACCAGCTAGGTTTTTAGCAGATGCTATCGAGCTCGAAAATTGCTTCATCGATGGTAATTGGACCCGAAAAGCTTTAGTTAAGATATTCATTTGAAAATCTTCTTGTTGATAGAAAGCAGATGTTTTGTTGAAATATAATAAAAATTAATAATTTAATATTATGATCTTGTAACTTCTGATTTCGACCACGATTACGATGAGTACCAATGAGTAAAGGCCAACACTCTATTTCAAAACTACCTAGATTTGGGTAGAATCCAACCACATCGATCACAACTAGAAATACTCAGAGGGAGAGATACACACTATGTCAAAACTACCCAAATTTGACTATAATCCACCCACATCGGTCTAAACTGAAGCTACACGCTTACTTCAGCTTACTCACCGGGTGAGTCGATCGTACTCAATTTCGTCTGATGCATTACACTGATAAAATTGCGTAAAATTGCTCATATTTCGATTATGTGCCACACACATAAATTTTTGCAATGTGATGTCACAAATAATATTTATGTGTGAGACACATAATTAGTTTCATTCGCCATTGAATAAGTTTTATGTGTGGTCATACATGATAATTAAAGCTAGTTACAAATGAATTTAATTAGCCTTTCTTTTTGTTATTGATTATGATAAATTAATTTAAAATGTTCGGAATATATTGTAGAATACAATGAGAATATAATAAAATATATTTATTAAATCGTTCAACAACGCAGAATAATTTTAATAAATACCACGAAATAGGAATACAATACACTCGAGCTCATAAAAGGCGGATGCCTTCGTGTCCGGACACAACCGGTCCCTCCATTATGTGTCGAATAAGAATGATCTGGAAGTCCGGCTTCATGTAATCGTTCACGATAAAAAGGCACGATTTTCGCTCCGTTATAACAAAGCAGCGGAGGAGTTTTGAGAAGATTCTATGGGCTGCTCTTGCGATACCATGAATCCATGAATCCGGAAACTTCAAATTGTCCCGTTTGAAGCACCTAGCACACAACTTAATATCGACGGTTACTGAAATTAGAATTCAAGTCAAAATCATAATCTTACACAATTTTTCCTCAAATTTCACCTTCAAATTTTTCCACAATGTTTACATACTGGTTTTCCGTCTTCATTTTGAAATTCCCCTGTTAAAGCCTAGTATACAGATCGAAGCGAAACGAAAATTGAAGCACGCGAAAAATCATGAAATTTCGCTAGCGAAAAAGGTTGTGAAAAAATGTTTGTGGAACATTTTCCAGTTTCCTTTTTTCGCAGTTTACAGTTCATGTGAAACGAAATCGGTCAGTTTACACCTCCGGTGAAGTGAAAATCTGACAGATACGCTCTTTCTCGATACGTCAACTTTTCGCTTACCTGCTGCTCTTTTCCCGCATAAACGCGAACCATAAATTGACCTTACCTAAAATGGTTAAAAATTGTTTATAATCCCTGCTAAACTTTAACTGAAATGGTTATGGAACTTTACATGAACGTTAAATGATAAAGTTTCAACCTTATGTATTATGGTTTTTTGGAACTGGACCTTACAAATAATGGGTTGTTAAGAACCATTACCATTCCAAATTCTTGTTTTCTCCATACATTTTCAGAAAAAGAACTATATAAGAACGTTTTTACTTATGATTTGAGAACATTAATGGTAATGGTTATGGTTGTCAGTAAGGTCCATTAATGGTTTTGTATCGTGAATTGGTAATCAGTAAATTACAGGCAACCAATTCGCGATATATTCAACATAAAGTTGATCGATGTTACAAAACCATTCGTGGACCTTACTGACTACCATAACCATTGCCATTAAAGTTCTCAAACCATAAGTTAAAAGGTTCTAATATAGTTCTCTTTCCGAAAATGTATGGAGAAAACAAGAATTTGGAACGGTAATAGTTCTTAACAACCCATTATTTGTAAGGTCCAGTTCCAAAAAACCATAATACATAAGGTTAAAACTTTATCATTAAACGTTCATGTAAAGTTCCATAACCATTTCAGTTAAAGTTTAGCAGGGATTATAAACAATTTTTAACCATTTTAGGTAAGGTCAATTTATGGTTCGCGTTTATGCGGGTTCGCTAGCGCTGCATGCGCGAAAAAAAATGAACGTAAGCGAAAAAGATACGATCCACAAAATAAGATTTCGCTGGATCGCATCTGTTTACAGTTCAAAGCGAAGCGAAATATTTGCCAATTGCGTTTTTCGCGCAGGTGAAAAATTAAGTATTTTGTATGAATTTTTCGCTTCACTTCGATCTCTATACAGGCCTTAAGTCGGGAGTAAATTTGTTTTATGTGTGCCCACACATAATTTTTTCCCATATGTCATTTCACATGACGGTTATTTGAAACACACATACTTCGCATATGTAATACACATGAAGCTTATGAGTTGGTTATAAAATTTATGTGTGGAGTGTTTCATGAAAGTTATGTGTGAAATCACATAAATAAAATCTTTGCTGTTTTATCAGTGTAGGTTGTCAAAATCTGTGTAAACGAAAAATGTCAAACTGAGTAAAAGCCACTCAGTCAACCAAATCCGGGACTTAAAAAATATGCCAGCCGTGTCGGAGTAAACGCTCTAAGAAACGGCGAAATTATTGTAAAACACCGGCCGATATGTATTAAGGTAAGTAGGAATTGCACGAAGAGACGAATTTCAGTCGTCTTCAGCTCCAGTTAAATGAATCCGAGAATGAATCTGGAGCAGGTAAGGGAGAACAGCCCATAATGCACCCCTGGGGTAAAATGCCCACTTATAGAAAAACAGCGATAACTTTTCCTCAGATGCATTTTCCGGGTAATGGTTTGTGATTGTTTTCAACTGGAGGTTTAACAAATAATTCTTGATCATAAAATCATGTATTGACCTACTGATTCCTTAAAAAAATTGCATTTTGTGCAAAACAGGACACAGTTGTTAAAATCATCGACTGTAAATTAAGCTTTTATCATCATGTATCACAAAAAAAAATTAAAAAATTTACGTTTCGTATATTTTTTAGATATTTTACTTGATGAATCACAGTTTAACATTCTATTGAGATTTTGAGACCTTATTTTTGATGTAACATAAAGAAATAATCATTTGAAATACCGCATCCCTTTGCATTATCTACTTGCAGGGGTTATGGTTTGTTTACCATGGGGTGCATTTTACCCCAATGTTGTGGTGCGTTTTGGCCATTGTTGTCGTGCGTCTTGTCCCAATGTTGTGGTGCATATTGCATCATGAATCAGGCGTTTTGCCCCGCTATCATTTTGGAAGCAATTTAAAAAATACCTTGAAAGTCATGGAAAATCATCCTTTTGTAGTTCTAAATCACAAGATCTTTGTAGAAAACATGGTAATGAACCAAACGCCATTACTTTCTTCTTGATTTTAGCTTCCATTCGCCAGCCATTGACGATTTTGCTTAAACGGTGCGTTTTGCACCATCCTACCCTAATTTCAATTTTTTATCAAAACAAATGAAAAAACGTTGGAAGGGTTGTATACTAGATACGACCGCAGGGTTGGCGTTGGATAACGTCTGTTATGTGTTGTACTTAATTGTGTATATTATATTTTATTACCGTATAGGTACTATAGTAATTAGGAAAGATAAAGCCTTTTCTAACAGCAGAAAATTTCTGCTAAAAAATACTTTGCTTGTACAGTTTGGCAAAAGATCATGCAACTACACCGAAAAAAATATACAAATCTACTTGACAGCTCGTTTGACATTATTCATTTTTACAGCAATAACTTTGATTAAATTTTAATCAAAGTAATAAAAAAATATCTGCTTTCAACATATTTTTGCTGGTCAATTTTCAGCAAACAATTTTGCTGGAAGAAGATAATCATAATTTGTCGTGTAGCCTTAGTTATACACAGTGTAACACAGGAAAAATCCAGCTTAGGCCTAAGGGTTCAGTTTTATGCCACAATCAAAGTATTTACTTGAGAAATTTGAAATTGATTTTCAACTATTTGCTGTTATTTTCTGAAACATTGAGCATTGTTTGAAATTCAATTGAATTGATCTAAACGTTTTTCAGCATCCTGTTTGGAGGTATATTTATAGCATTCACAATACAAATGTTCACTTTTAATGAAAGCAGATACACAGAGAAACTATTATTCTCACATATTTTAAAAATGTAAATGCCCCTGTAATTTTTTCAATAGCTACTATTGAAGGTTTTGTCACGAGAAGATGCTGCTTGTGTCTAATGAATGATGAAAGAGTTTGATATTGTATGAATGATGCTGACCTCAGCCATTTTTGTTACTGGTGAGCTGATACCTTAACTATTTATCTTTAAAATTCCGATAACAGCTTATTTGATTATGCAAAGATAAATACCTTAATTAAAATTTTTCTCAGGCGTTTTCATTAATTTCTTCTCTCGATTCCGGAAGTGCACGACGTATCTGGAACTACCACAGCAAAATGTATGCAGAATATTGTCGGTACTGGATTAGTAGCGGTAACCAGCAGGACCTACGTTGATTTAAGCTTAACACCCGCAGATTGATGAACGCTCCATCACATCACTTTAACCTTTCACATTCTGGCAAGAAAGTCAATTCTAAAACACCTATTAATTTCATATGGTGGCCCTGAAAAGGGCCGTTTTTTTTGTTCTGAGTGGATGATACTAAATTAACCCCCGAATCCGTACAGAGTACGTCCCTGCCGCTTCAGAGCGTAAACGACATCCATGGCGGTGACAGTCTTCCTTTTCGCATATTCGGTGTAAGTAACGGCGTCACGAATAAAGTTTTCCAGAAATACCTTCAGCACTCCTCTGGTTTCTTCGTAAATGAGACCGGAAATTCTCTTAACTCCACCACGACGAGCCAAACGACGGATTGCAGGTTTAGTGACGCCCTGGATGTTGTCACGCAACACTTTTCGGTGACGCTTGGCTCCTCCTTTGCCAAGTCCTTTTCCACCCTTGCCGCGTCCAGTCATCTTCTAGTATGACAATTATAACGTCGATGAAGGTTGAAACAAAAGTGAACAAAAATTCCAAATTTTGGCTACTCGAGGGTTAAATTCTTTTGGTTAGTTGTTGTGTTCTTGTTCTTTCATCGTTTCTGATTGGTTGAACACAGCAAACGCATGTTATAAAACAGAATGGAAGTGATTTTTATTTTTTATTCCACAGTGTGC